AATTTCACTTGTTTTTTAATTCTTGGTAATTAGTGTCACTGGCGATGAAGTAGTAAAAACGCAATTAATCGCAGTGCAGCAACTCGGGATAGACCATCCCGACGCAATGGGCAAATTATTACTGCCCTAGTATTTTGGGTTTGCCAGCTCCGCACCATTGATAGACTTGGTAACTTCTTGTAGACTTCCGTTTTTATCACTGTTTTTGTAAGGCTAACTATGTACAAAGGCGGGATTACCTTTCGATCAATACATGTTATTGTTTTAAAGATGTGCTAGACGAGGCTGACACTTGTAAACAATACAACGTGAATAAGCATCGCGGGCAGGATTTCAAGGATCGCGGGCGAAACAAAAGCGACGCGGCTGTTTGTCTAAGCGACGCGGGCCCGCAGTGCTTGAAAGGCCTGGGGAGAACACTGGCATTTTTTCATATACATGTTGTGCAAGACATGGCACCTAATCTACACAAAATGGTACTTTCTTCATAATACGCATTAAATCTTGACTTTTCTCCCAATTAATTTTCAATAGGCAGTCATCTTCAAATTTTTCAATATTTTTTCTAACCTTTTTTCACAAAATCATAAATCATTCAGTTCACCCCTGTTTTCTAATGTGGAACCTAAAGAAGAAACATTTTGTTTAGGAATCTGCCCCAATTTCTGTGATGACCATGTTTTGTCAGTGTCTGTCTGATATATACAAAATGCATCCAAAAATTCTCAGAAAAACTAGACAAGTGACAAAAAGAAGCTAAAAGTCAGTTGCTGATGTAAATAGAAGGCTACAGAACCACAGATATAGAGAACCTCAAGTGAAGACACATTACACGAAATTCAACACTAAATACAGCCATCCCATAATTTACATCATATTTGCAGTGACATACAAATTGCTATAATCAAACATACAGCAAGAAGTCCAATTTTGGTTGTCCAATTATCTAATTTTGGAAAGTTGAAGAATACTTGTACACAAGTTGTTCATATAAATTTTCAACGTTCAGAGATTAACATGTGAACATGCTTTATTTGTATATTTCTTGTATTCACCAAAAATTGGTCCCATCTTTGTCTACATACAATGAAATAAGAACAAAACAAATAGTCAGATCCAAATGAAGTTTGTTTTTCGTTGTGATAAAACTTCAAGGAACATTAATTCAGCCTGCAATAATAGCCAAGGGGGCGGAGAGGAATTGCATTTCATATTTTGTATATAGTATATACACGAGTATAATAAAAAAATTAGCAATATTATATGCCGAATAGAATAGATCAGACTTTTCTTTTGTTGGTGAATAAGTGTGTTTTCTGCTAAGATTGCTTCTTCTGCATTCTAAAAATATACCAGCGAGATAATTTACACAACAATAGAAAGTTAATCACATGTTGTACACATTACTGTAGAATACTTTATTTTCGCTTGGAATTTATTTTCGCTATTTTCGCTGAAGGCATGATTCCGTGAAAATAAAATCTAGCGAATATACTTTTTTTCCTATATTTTACATTAAACTCATCAAAAATCAGTGAAAATAAATTCCAAGCAAAACGCCCAAAAAGCCTTTTCAGTGAAAATTAATTCCAGCGAAAATAAAGTATTCCACAGTATGTTAATTGAGTCAGGTTGTTTATCATCAAGAGGTAATCACAAGGTCTTGAGAGTACTTTAAGACTAAATACAGAACTAGAAATTGTGACAGCAATATTTGATTATTTTGAAAGGCATATCGGTAATTTCTCCTCTGGCCTCTGAGAATTTTTTCCAAGGCCTCATCTGTCTTGCCTGTAAATACATTTAATCCTCTATTGTTCATATCGTATATATATATCAAGCAAGTTTACCTAATGATTACATGTGGGATATAAATCACCTGTCCTTTGAAGAGGTTTAGAAATACAACTAGATCAAAATGTGCTATTGCTGTCAGATACATCTGTCTGTTGCCACATCTTCCTGTAGGAAGCAGGTCTAGTGATTTTAAATACTGATTGATTGCCAGTCTTGTATGACTAATATTCAGTATGTCATTGTTACTCTTAAAATAAATCAGTTGGAAATATTAAAAATTCAGAAGATGAATACAGACCAGAACAGTCTGCCTGTTAATTTGCTGTCTCCAATTTTGATCCTTGACATGCTGCCCTGTCTATTGTTTATCAATTAATGTTGGCTTTTATACTATTCACATGCTGTATTTGTGTTTATGCACTATATTATTCCTTGTAGAAAAGCCAATATCAGAGGTGTAAAGTATAAATAAAACTGTGCAATTTATTTTTTTAAACTTGACCTTCACCTGATGTAACAATAGACTTGTAAAATAACTAAGAGTGAAGTGATTATGAAGACAGATTTAATTGCAGTGAGAAACAAAAACATTTTTTTTGAGAAGTTGACATAGGGTATACATGCATCAAATTGTTTACAGAGAGATTGAGTTAACCCCATATTTTGTTCTCTGACTCCAATTATTGAAAAGGAACCCAGTTTTTAGGCATGCTGGGGTCCAATCTCTAATAAAGTTATCTAGGGTCAAATTTCAATTTCAAGCGGGACTCGTCTTGCCGAAACACTAGCGCAAACCCTGAAGTTTAATTAATTATCTTTTTAAACCGGGTTATAAAAATGTTTTATGTAGACTTAGGAATGTCGTGCTATACAATTGCATTATGTTACAGCCAGTCGCTATCGTGAATAATGATCTACCATAGACTTTAAAGTCTGTGTAAAGAATTTGAATATCACGTTTGTGTCTTCAAATGACATGTTAACAATTTCCTGTAATTTTCTTAAGGTCAAAATCTGTTTCTTTTTTCCAGATCAGCTCACTTCAGTACACTGGCTATAAAACAGAACCCAATGCTTGCTGAAGCTTACTCAAATCTAGGTAATGTATTCAAAGAAAGAGGACAGTTGCAGGAAGCATTGGAGAATTACAGACACGCAGTCAGACTCAAACCAGATTTCATTGATGGCTATATCAACCTGGCTGCAGCTCTCGTCACATCTGGAGATATGGAGGGAGCTGTCCAGGCTTATTGTTCAGCATTACAATACAATCCAGTAAGTACTACACAGCTATAGTTTGTGGTCTATATCAATTGAATATTTTGTATTGAACATTGGCTTGAAGTTATGTGATGTGATTTATTGTTTATTCTGCTATTTTGAGCTACACTATGTGCTCCACAAGATTTTTACACATGATAAGTCTTGTCAAATAAAGTAGTCCAAAAAGTGTAGTCTATCTGAATGGATAGATCAATTATCAGAGATTTCATTAATACTTTAAGTAGGTGCATTGCTCCTATTTCATGAACAAGTTTCTGTGTTTTTCTAATGAAAACCCTGTGATTTTTTGTAAACAAATTTAATTTTGTCATTGTCATTTGTTCAGGACTGTAATTTGGTAGCAGTGACTATCGTGACTGTGATGTAATTAGTGAAATAACGATATTCATCGTTTGGTTATATTGAATTGTACCTTTCATTTATTTAGGATCTGTACTGCGTGCGGAGTGATCTTGGAAATTTATTGAAAGCACTGGGACGACTTGACGAAGCCAAGGTATGGAAAAGTATGGTCACAGGATGTTTTCTCCTTTGATCATATCTTTCTTCTCCAACCCTGAAAGGAGCAAACATTTCTCATCCCAAAGTTTCTCTTTCTCTCTTTTTCTCTTTCATTGAATTTCAAGACTTGTATCGAGACTGTAAACTAGTACTTTCAACCATTCATGTGCAGACATTCTATTGTCAGTTGAAATGAAAGGAAGTGTAATTGGATTCTTCACTTAAAACAAAAACTAGTTGTCTGCATTTCATTTTTATCTGTGTTTTTTTCTCTCCTGTCTTGTGATCTTCCTATAAAATCTCCATACTTCTCTACTCCTTTTGGGGTTTCTATTAGTTTTGTCAATATCGCGTCAGTTGAAGGCTACGTAGCATCAAGTAGTTATGAGTGCAAAAACAGATCATTGAGATATTTATTTTTTTCAATCTTGTTTTATATGGTGAAAAGTCAATCATTGGCCGCCTAAGGGGTCATTTTTTTTAGAGAGCTCACTGTATACATGTTTTTCATAACACAAAGGCCAATACTTCTGCTACATGCGCTACATTAATTGCTCGGGGTTTTCTGGCGCTGTAGTCTGCGTTCTGCCGTGTGATCAATAGCCATGCTCGCTTCAGGATCTGCTAAGTAGCCAAGTATTGCCTTTGGTGGTGTTTCCATTTATAACATCAATTTCAAAATGGACCAGGTCAATTCTTGGTAGTTTCTACCCTGCTGAAGTGATTTTGTCCATTTCTGCTAAGCGCTACTGTCACTTGTGATTCTCTTTAACAGGATTGCCAAGTAAATGAAACTTCAAAGATTTTTATTTCATTTGTGAAAACTATCTGGAGAAAAAGTGAATTCAGTACCTAAATTCATCCTAGTAACATTATAAGCAAACCCTATAAGGAGAATTGCAAGTTGCTTGCTGAGTGATTAACGTCTGTAGGGATGCGCGTTCTGTAGTTTTCCTTTCCATTGCAGAGTAAAGCTGATACAAGAATCCCTTTTGCCCATGCCAAAAGTTTCATAGTATTCAGTGAGCTCGCAGAGAAAACTGATCTCATTAAAATTTCAGTCAAATCTGTAAATTAAACATTGGTTGCACTGATGGTGTTGATTCTAGGTGTCTATTTAGTGCGCTCATTGTGTACTGTAAGATTTAAGTCAAAGCACTTGTGGAATAAGCCTGCTGAAAATGTAAAGATGGCTCACGCAGTCAGTTGTGTGATCCAAGTATTCAACTTCAATTTGACTAACCATTTCATTATTTGCATGACATGGCTACAATTACAAGTGCCACTGACTGTTATCTTTCTATTATGATTTTATTATATATAGGAAAACTAACAAGATTTTTATCCTTGTAAACTTTCTGTTTTGTGCATATCGTGCATCTCAAGGTGTCCATGGTCCCATGATGAGTATACATGCACCTACCTGCAGCCTTAGGCCTGGAGTCAATACAAGGCTGTAGAGGTCCAATTTAGGAGTCAAGCAACATCAACACGGCGTCCAGTTGGTGGGTTATTAAGAAGACGTACACGTTTGTACTGTAACTACCTAGAATTGTTTTTTGTCATTTCAAATCTGGATGATTAACTGTATGAATCCTTTAAAAGGGAAACATGAAAGATAAGGCAATACTGCAACATAAATTGCGATTCTTACTCGAGCATTGTTCGTGAATGCATAGTCATAATGACATTAAAGCAACATGCGACTTTAGATAACTGTTCATTGTAAATTTTTATGTAGTGTGGAGTGTGAGATTGGTCAAAAAGATTAGCCAAACACATAGATGCCGCGTGCTAGCTTGCAAGCGTTTGAGTATGCATGCTTGCATATGTGCAAGGGAACGCAGCAGCGATGGCGGCGAAGAGAGGAGCGGAAGGGCGGCCTAGTGTAGCTGAGCGGCTCACCATGCTTTTGCCCCGATGCTGGTTTATGTGCTCTTGGAGTCGCGCAAAAGTTTCTTTTATTGCAGGTAGCTGGATGTTACTCAGTTGCTGAATTCACTCAACTCTGTTTTCTTTTCTAGTACTACACCATGTTTGGCTGAAGACGACAAGACGCATCAGCTAGCTGAAAGGGCATAGAACTTGCAGCCTGCGACAGCGCATTCTCTAGATTAGCAGCAATATGTGGCTTGTAGTAGCGAGCGGTGTACGTGCGCATGCGGCTAATGCAAGCGTTGAAGAGCCTATAATGAGTCTTTATGCATTTTGAACAAATGTCCATCTCTATTCGGAGTTTGATTAAAATTGTATTAACTGGCTCTTCAAAGTGAGACTTGGTACGCGAAGAAAATGAGTGTTTGACTATTCCTTTTGGTATGTGTTCAGTTGGACTTTTACAGTATGTTTAAATCAACACAATTTTATTGTGTAACCACAGTACCATTGCTATGTTCTAACTATTTTTTTCCTCTCCCTGTTCCACTTCCTTCCTTATCCTACTTTCCACACTCCTTTTCCGCAACTTCTTTTTTGTTGTATTTGTTTGTGTTGCCTTGGTACACATTCAAAGGCTTGTTATCTGAAAGCTATAGAAACGCAGCCCAACTTTGCTGTTGCATGGAGTAACCTTGGATGTGTGTTCAATGCACAAGGAGAAATCTGGCTTGCAATTCATCACTTTGAGAAGGTATGTAACTGCAGTTTATACATTTCTGACTATTGTGACTGTACAGAGTATGTACCATGATTACTGTTGCGTTAAGTGTGCATTATTTTCCACCTAATAAAATATGTTTGGGAGTTCATGTTCTCAGCTCTCGACTTCATTATTGTTGTTGCATTGACACATCCGTTGCATCTACTTTATTTATTTGGCATTTATATTTCTGTGTTGCTCTTGTATATTCAACTTAAACAACTCTTCTTCATATAAATTTCACAGGCAGTGCAGTTGGATCCAAATTTCTTAGATGCTTACATTAATTTGGGGAATGTGTTAAAAGAGGCCAGAATTTTTGATCGGTAAGTTTGTCTACTTACAGAACATACAAATATCTGAAGATCATTTAATATCTCATAGCATATACATTATAATCTGATAGATGTATTATAAAGCAATCAGTTTGATGTGATCAACTTTATTTGCATTACAGAGCTGTTGCTGCATATCTGCGGGCATTGCAACTCAGTCCAAATCATGCAGTTGTCCATGGCAACTTAGCATGTGTCTACTATGAACAAGGGCAAGTAATTTTAAATATCAACTTATCATTTTAATATTTTTATCTTTTCTGTAGTGGTACCATGTGCGTTATATATATCTATTGTCTTTTGATCATTTTTGTTTGGTTTGTGTGACTGCCCTCAAAGTTCAACAGTATTGATCTTTCTTTTCTCTAGGTTGATTGATTTGGCCATTGATACTTACAGACGTGCTATAGAACTGCAACCACACTTTCCTGATGCTTATTGTAATTTAGCTAATGCACTCAAAGAGCAAGGCAAAGTAAGCGTAAGGACTAATTTTTTCATATTTTCAAATTTTCTTAGTTTTTAAGTAGGTACAATTCTGTCATAGTGTAAATACCGAGCAAGAAAATCCAAAATTTCAATTTCTATGAAAGTCAAGTGTTAGATGACTTCAGAAGGGGATTGGCACGAGAGGGCACTATCCGATCTGAATGGATCGTTTCGACGTCAGTCGTCCGTAGCCCATTGTCAAAGCAACATTTTCCTGTTTACGAACAGATGAAATAATTTCAGCATTTTCTTTACAGAATAATCCTCGAAAAAACATTTCATAGACAAATACAGGCTCCAAAATTATTATTTTTCAGCTCGTAACGATAGAATCAGTCAATTTAGAACTAACATGTATGCTATCAGAAAGCCTTTTGGCACAATTCTGCTGAAAAGACTAGTTTTTCATTGCTCAAGAACATTAATTTATGCAAATGTGACTATTATTTCAACCAGCGGTTAAAAATGATTGTATCTGGTCATGACACATCAGTAATATTTTCTTTTTATTGCATGGGAAAATCAGTTTGCATACACAAATTCAGGCATATTTTATAGCAATTCAAGAAAACTAACATACAGGGATTGATTTTGGAATAAAATTGATTAGAAACATTTTTTTCCTGGGCCTCAGTACTTAGATTTTCTAGTCTACTCAGTAAAGGGAAGTATTTGGAATCAGATGATCAAATAACGATTAAATATTGACACATTAGTTTAAATAATAATACATCTGACTTCAGCACTGTTGAAAATAACATCTATTTCATGGATTTGTAGGTCACAGAAGCTGAAGAATGTTACAATACAGCACTTACACTTTGTCCAACACATGCAGACTCGCTAAATAACTTAGCTAATATAAAAAGGGAGCAAGGTAATACAGAGGAGGCTGTCAGGTTATACTGTAAAGCACTTGAGGTAAGATTCTGTTACCTGAACACCAAATTACAACCAATAAGCACACTGTGGAATTATTGCCACAAAAGTGGCATTCTCTTCCATGAAAAGTTTGTCGATTGATACTGTATGCTATTGAAATTGTACCAATTATTTGCATAGCTGGATAATGTTCAGCTCAGTCAGATGTCAAACGATGGCATGAGTTTTGACACCACTTTCCAGTGATGCTAAGTTTATCAACTCAGTTGAGTCATCTCTAAAACCACTTTCAATGAATGAATACAAGAATTTTTAGGTTTGCCAGGTTTTGAGATCAGCAGTTGTTTAGTATTGCAAATCAAAAAAAAAAAAAAAAAACCATTTGTAGACTGTTGACCATTTGTTAACAGTGGATATATCAGAAAGCTTACAGTTAGCCGGTGTTTGCGGCTTATTATGCTGAAAAGTGTAAAATATAATTATGCAAATTGATGTGTGGAGTAAGTACATTGTAATGCTGTTAGATTTGTACATGTCTATGAAAATTGCTGGCACACTGTTTCATGTCATTTTAATTTTGTTCAATTATAAATTTAATTTATTCATAATCCATGCAACAAATACTTTGTAGAGTGCCCTACTTTATAGACTATTTATTATAATTTTCATAATTTCCATTATATTATGTAATCTATTGTATATGCTGCCCCAATAGTTTTGAGTAGTCAACTTAGATGACATTAGTTAAAAGGCCTTGCCAGATGTAATGAGCAGTGATTACTTCTTTCCACCATGTGTACACTCAAGATTTTCTGTTGAATTTAAAAGCATAATTCTACTTGCTCCAAATATTCTGAGAAACCAGTCTCGTTTAAATGTGTAAATTTTGTCAGTAATTATTCGTTAATACAATTTATGTATAAACTGGCTAGCTCACTGGCCTTGGCCAATGGTCTTAATGGCGGTGGTGTATTCTGTGATTCTAGTATGATCTTAAACAATGCTTGTGTATATTATACATTGTGTTCATATTCATCGTGTCGATTTATATTGAAAGTAGACCAAACATATTGAATAACCACTCAAATTTATATGCATGTATAGAATTGATAAACCACAGTTTATAACCTCTTAATTTTTAATAAAAAGATTGCCATGGAAACCATCATGTTGCGATGAATATCCATTAACCTCAGCCCTGGTAATTATGCTTCTTGCCCACTGTGTAATGTTGTGCTTTTGTTAATAACTGTCATTCTAATGTAAGGTAACCATAGCAACGATTAATTTTCGGTCTACCTGATTCGTTGACTCGTAATAAGGAAATCATATTTAAAATGTATAGAAACTCAGGAGGTAGTTGCAAAATGACTGCTCGCTTGGATTGAAACAATTACTTAGTAGAAAAAATTACCATGGGATCACAGTTTGCCTACAGACGTAGTCTTGAAGATGAAGTATGTATCTTTACAATGCAGTTAAAAATATTGGACAGGTTATTTATTTGGTTGTTTTTTGGTGTAACAGTGGTGATCAGTTGGAATATTTTGTCCTAATCAACTGATGGATGGCTGTTATATTGGCGGTTGCTTTCTTTTGCTAGTCTGCTTAGCTCTAAAATTACTTTGTATTATACAGCAGTCTTCGCTTGCACATGTCACTGAATTTTAACAGAAATATATTTCTCCTAAATATTCTTGATAGGTATTCCCAGAGTTTGCGGCAGCACATTCAAACCTCGCAAGTGTTCTACAACAACAAGGTAAACTGCAGGAAGCTCTTATGCATTACAAAGAAGCCATCAGAATTTCCTCCAACATTTGCTGATGCCTACTCCAATATGGGTAACACACTGAAGGAGATGCAGGATATACAAGGGGCATTACAATGTTACACCAGAGCGATACAAATCAACCCAGCATTTGCTGATGCCCATAGTAATTTAGCTTCTATACACAAGGTAAGAATCATGTTTTTGAATGTCAGAAATTTTGCTAGTGTTTGCTCCACACAATTGAAATTTCATGTATCCCTGTCGCAGTGGAAACCTGGACTAGTCTGGTTTCAAAATGAAGGTTCCCACAAATAGGAATCAGAATTTAGGATTTATGCAATTGATAAAATTGAAACCACTAATACGCATTGTACATACCAAAACGATCAGTGTACATGTAGAGATTCAGATTAGAGATTTTTATTGTTAAATAGAACAATACTAAAAATGTTATGTTCTCGTTCCACATTAGTATAGATCTCATAAACAGTAATATTCTTTACTGTTCATATGAACAAGAAGCTACATGTACTAAGTATACTGCTAATAAAAGCTTAAAATAGTGCTCAACTGTTTTGTAATTGTCATGTCTTCTCTCCTTTTTATAGGACTCTGGTAATATACCTGAAGCAATAGAGTCTTACAAAACTGCTTTGAAGCTCAAACCTGAATTTCCAGATGCATATTGTAATTTAGCACACTGCCTTCAAGTAAGTCTTTACTTCAGAAGCCTGAATGACCCTGTATTAATATTTGTGTGACAATATCTTGTAGACGCAGTATACATACATTACATTACTGACAATGTATATCTAACGTTTGTTTTCAGATCGTTTGTGACTGGACTGATTATGAAGCACGTATGAAGAAGTTAGTAGCAATAGTAGCCGATCAGTTAGATAAAAACAGACTTCCATCAGTTCATCCGCACCATAGCATGCTATATCCATTATCACATTCTTTTCGTAAGGCAATTGCTGCAAGGCATGGTAATCTGTGTCTAGAAAAAGTAAGTACTCTTCTGACTTTTTCTTGCATCGTGAATGACATGGTTCTTTTTGACACACATTGCTGTGTATTTTCCCAAGCCTCAATCGATTGTCTTGATAAAAGCTCTGCAGCTCAGCTATCACCAGTGATTTGCACATTACCAGGGGGCGGAAATAGTTGTATGGCTTTCAATTACATTCATATTATACTTTTCCAACTTTTCCCTATATGTTGACCTTATATCTAATAACCAGACAACCTCCTTGAATGGTCAGTAATGTAATGATTTTTCTCCCCCTCTAAACTCTTTGCAGATAAATGTTTTACACAAACCACCTTATACTCATTCAACTGATCTGAGTGCCAGTGGAGGTCGTCTACGTATTGGTTATGTGAGTTCCGACTTTGGTAATCATCCCACGTCGCATCTTATGCAGAGTATACCAGGAATGCATTCAAGGGAAAACGTAGAGGTAACTCAATTGATCTCGCTAATGTATAATACTACTTGTGTGTGTACATATATTGACTCTTGCAGTTGTAACTCCTATTTGCTACAGATAGTTTCAGTGTGAAAGTAATGGTAAAGTAGTTTGTAAAATCCCATACATTGTTCATTGCAGGTGTTTTGTTACGCTCTCAGTGCGGACGATAACACAACATTCAGAAGTAAGATTGCTAACGAATCAGAACATTTTGTTGACCTCTCGCAGGTAAGACAAAGAAGTTTGAGTGCACATCATAGATGTTGCATTTTCCAAACAACTTTTATAGTCAGAATCAATATCTATGTGTTCAGTAGTACTCTAAAATTGTACACAAGGTGATATATAGTAAGCTGTACAGGGATTGAGTTTGTTTTCATGAGAAAATTCAGGGGTTAATCTCTGAACCTATTTTACGTGGTACAATGAAATAAAGCAGCCAAACATTTTCTACCTTATCAGATTCCATGTAATGGTAAAGCTGCAGATCGCATCAATACAGATGGCATCCATATTCTCATCAACATGAATGGTTATACAAAAGGAGCCAGAAATGAAATTTTTGCATTGAGGCCAGCACCAATACAGGTATGATACACTGTCAACCAATTTCTATACCATTTAGAAGTAAATCTCCAATACTAGTGCACAAAAGCCAAAAAATGTATTTATGGATCTTTATAATATTACTTGTGCACCATTGACATGTCTGTCATTTATGTAAGCATATGTACCAGTAATATGGAGCAAATGGAGTACACACTTAATACATGTGTACTGTGTAATGGTAGTACCATTCAGAAATTTGTATTGTAATTCTTGAGATAAATGTGAACAAGATTTGCCTGGTACTAGAATAAACGTGCTTTGTGGAAAATGTTTATTCAGAGACCTTTGGTTAAAACAGCCAGCATGATGCAATATTTGTCATAAGAATTTGGACATTGAGGTAATAAACCAAAGTTGTGATGAAAAATTAATGAAGTCCTGAAATATTACTGGCTGTTTCTATTTCTCAGACGCTATATTGCCAACACTATATTGTTGTATTTATTAATGACTGGTGATTTACAGGTGATGTGGTTGGGCTATCCTGGAACTAGTGGGGCGCCGTTCATGGACTATATCATCACAGACAAAGTCACATCACCATACAGACTGAAAGAACAACATTCAGAAAAGCTTGCCTACATGCCCAACACGTTCTTTATCGGTGACCATGCACAGATGTTTCCTCATCTCAAGGAAAGGATAATTATAGAAAGTGCTGAAGGAAAGAGAGCTGATAATGTGTCTATTGTGAACGGTGTCAATCTTAAACCTATTGTACAAACTGTAGTGGAGAAAATGAATGATGTGAGTATATATCTCTGCAGTCTTTATATCATTACGAACTTTATCAGCGGCTTAATGTTAAGAAGCAGATTATCTCATAAAAAATTAAAGAGAATCTCTTGTCTTAATTACCTACCAAATGCAATGTAATTGTTCCATCCTCATCCTCTTGGTTTGTTTGAATTTTGTGTGAATGTATTTTACATGCAAGGATCCACTACTTAGTGCAATAACATAGAGACTTGATTTCAGTCAGTACAGTTTTTGGCGTCAATGGAAATGACCTGTGTTGCTTTGGCTACAACTTTTGAAAATGCATTGTGCTCTAAGGGGAAAATAGTCTCAATGTTGTACCAATAATTAGGTTTGTTCTGTGCCAATGACTTGAATTCCTTTCACTGTCATTAATACATCGGAGCCACACATCCTGATTCAAAGTATTTTATGACCAGCTTAGAGGGCTATGGTTGTGATTGTCATGATTGTGTTGTTGTAATTGTAAAACTGATTATATACTTCTCAATTGCAGGAGCCAGTTATCATGAATGGTGACCATTTACCACTGGAGAAAGATGAGTCTGGAACAACTATTTTGGAATTGCCCACGACGACAGCTGTACATACCATGGTGAAAGAAGGTCATATTCAAACGACTGTGGCAGGTGTTGTTGTGCAGAATGGCTTAGCTACTAACCAGGTAAAAATACCTATCCACATTGAGATTTGAAGTATTGGCTGTTTAGAAGTACTTGTGATTGTTAGCTTTTTGATTTCAAATCCTACATTGGGGTAGTCAAATGTAGACATTTCTTATTGGTGTTTTTTTATAACAGGTAAATAACAAGGCAGCTACAGGTGAAGAAGTCCCCAAAGCTATAATTGTTACAACAAGAACGCAGTATGGTTTACCGGAAAATGCAGTTGTATATTGTAACTTCAACCAATTATATAAAATAGATCCAGCAACGCTTCAAATGTGGTGTGCTGTAAGTGAAATATTTACTTTACAATAGTCACACAATAATCTTATTTTGGTCTGGAGGGAAATGTGGAATTGTGCAGTGAAAATATCACTTTGAGTTCTTCAGATTGTGTAGTCGCAGTGACTTGATCAAATTCAGAATATTTCTAACAGTGAAAACTTTAAACAGGACAACGCATGTTAACAAAGTAGCATGTTAACTTTTCAGATTTTGAAAAGAGTTCCCCAATCTGTACTTTGGCTGTTGAAGTTTCCTTCAGTGGGTGAACCAAACATCCATCGAGTAGCACAACAGTTGGGTGTGACATCTAATCGTATCATCTTCTCACCGGTGGCACCAAAAGAAGAACATGTGAGAGAGGCCAACTTGCTGATGTTTGTTTAGACACACCACTGTGTAATGGCCATACAACTGGTATGGATGTACTATGGGCAGGCACTCCTATGATTACTTTACCAGGTAAACATTTACTTGACTCATCGCGATCATCAGAAACGTGTACAAATATTGGCTTATGACATAAAACTTGGCTACACTATGACTTGTGCATTGATTACATCAAAATGTGCACTTTAGGGTGACCACACACACGTATGTTTCTTTGTATATTCATTCTGTACACAGAATGAACATTTTATCATGGCTATAAAAAGCACTTGATCACTAATTGCTTACTTGTGTTGCAGGGGAGACATTGGCTGCTAGAGTTGCTGCATCACAATTACATGCAGCGGGATGTTCAGAGTTAGTTGCTAGTACAAGGCAAGATTATGAAGACATAGCTGTGAGACTGGGCACTGATAGAGCATAGTAAGTAGCAGACACAGTCAGCAAATATCAACTAAATGTTTACTCTCGTTTGTCAAGTATTGTTAGAATGGGTTTACCTGGATGAATAATAATTAGTATTGATTTCATGATAGATGAATTCACTCATTGTATGAAAAAAGGTTATGTAACTGTTATTGCAAATCACTTTCAAGCTATTGATGTCATCAATTTTAGCTATCGCATCATCACATTTTACCATGTCTTGAGGTTGCATATTAAATGAAATTGCTGAACCACCTTTTTTTATCTTTCAGTTTAAAAACAATCAGGACGAAAGTTTGGAAGGCAAGAACAATGTCTTCGATATTTAACTGCCGGGCTTATGCTTCCGATCTTGAAGCCTTATTCAGGAAAATGTGGGCAAGAACATGAACAAGGACTGGAAGCCGACCACATCCTAAACTAAAATGGACTTGTCTTTTGTAGTAGTTGTAGTATTGCTTAGAAATGGAAGTAGACATATCATGGAATCCGTGTAAAAGGGGGGTGGGGGTTGGGGGGTGTTGTTTGGTGCAGGTTGAATTCTAGACCTTTTATTTGTTCTGCTCACCTTAAACAACCTAAATTTGCTTTATGTTTAATTCACAAATGCTATTTTAGTTATTATTTCTGGGCATTCACCTATTTGTTTTGTTGGGGTGTGGTAAAGATATTGCTTGCTTGTCTTCGCAAGTTGTATCGTGGTTTAAAGCACATGGAGTGGTAAATATTTATAATAGTAATTTTGCATGAGAATATATAATAAACTAAAGTTAATCAGTTGGTGCTAAACATTTTCTGGAGGATTTAAATCCATGTTCCATGAAAAACAAAAACATGGGTTAAAGTATATCCCGTTTCATGTCTGTAATAAATTTTTAGCTGTCTTTTAGAAATGAATCTTTCCACAACAAACATTTGTGACAACACTAAACCAGGTGTATATTTAAATTTTCTCATATAATCCCATTGCACTCAATTATTATATTTAATATTTGTGGATGTTTTTTTTTTTTCTCCAGTATTAATACCCTTCTACTTAGGATGTATCTTGGCATCAGTTTTCTGCTACAAATCATTTTTGGAAATGGCAAACACTGCCTTGCCTTATGGTTATACATCCTCTTATGTTTTCAGCTATATTTTTAAGCTCAACACAACAGGAAATGTTTACTTATTCTAGAAAAACGCACATACGATGGTGTCTGTTTATTGAGAATCTTGTTGTTGAGGGATTTTATGTAAATTATTTATGAGAACTCGTCACTGGTGTATTGTGTTGTTAGGTGCCTCTACCATTATTACATTGCATTGTCTTAACATTTCTTTTCCTCGTATAAATAATAAAACTGTATATTGCATCTATTATCTTTTGTTCTCTGTAATGTCAGTGAAAGTGATGGGAATGTGTGTAT